TTAAAATCAATAATAAACACAAGGAATGTCCGGTAATAAGTTGATTCGACTTAAGTTTGTTTACTTACAATTAAGATATGGCTAGCGGAGGAGCTCACCCGAAGGGTGAGCACTTTAGCTAGTAAACATAAATACCTAAGCAGACAATGCTAATCACAAATATTGGACATGTAATAGCAAAATAAGACGCCTCTCACCCCTTTTTTCTGTTTTCTGCTCAAAATGGTAAGGGAAACAGGCAAAAAGGATGAAGAGGGGCGTCAGTCGAAGTATTACCTAAATAATAATTTATGATATTTTACTCCAAGTTATATGAAAGATTTACAAAAAATATTACAAGTAATAAAATGAGAAAAACCTTAATTAAAAAACGAACTAATCCCAAAAACCGTCATTAATTCTTTAAAAAAAATAAAAACCTGTTCTTTGAAGATATAGAAGTAATTGTAGCATTCGTCCCAATATTTTTAGTTTTTAAATTGCGTATTTGTACGAGTTGTTTAGCCAGCACTTTGCAAACATCTTTTTGTCCAGACTTTGCCAATTGTCTAATTTGTTGTTCCTAAAAAAATTAATTTTAAAAATTAAAAATCCAAACCAATTCTTTTTCTTTTCTTTCTAATTGCCGATAATCTAAATTTAATTCTCTTGTAGCTGTTCTCAATTCACGTTTCTCTTTTCGTTGGATCTCTTAAAAATAAATTAATTTAGAAATAAAAATATCTATAAACCTTTCTCATTTGGCTTCCCAAAAACCCAATCCATTAAAATAAATAAATAGAAAAGTTAAGTAATATCTGTCGAAAAATAAGATAAAGTTTTACGTATATTTACGAACTTGAATTTTACAAAAACAAGAAAAACAAAATTAAAAAAAAAACAAAAAAAAGTTTTAGTTTAAAATTTCAGACTCTAGAAATTCATCTAAAAGAGAAAATAACGCGGAACGGAATTATTGAGTCCCGTGGTCAACAAACAATTCCCCTTGCGCAATCGTTATTTTTGATCTTTATTAGGCTGTAGCCTTTTGTATGAAGATCTGATCGAAGCAATTCTGCTAGTTAAAATAATCCTTACATCAAGACTTTTGATTGATATACTAATCATCTAAACAATTAAGAATTGTAAAAGCACACCAAACTAAAAATTTACCAAATCAAACCTCTAGCTTGAGTAAAGCAGCTGGGCTATAGCTATTTCTCTCCTTTAGCTAGTGCAAAAGGTCAATCGGCGGCTGGGAGCGAACTAGCATCTTCAGTAGACCGGACTGATGTGTTAGGAATTAAACCACGCCGCCTACTAATAGCTATATGCTTTACACTTGCTTCGGAGTTTGGTTTCAAGGTCTCGGGTTTTTTTAACAATAAGTTGAAAAATCGGGATTGGGAAAGTGGAATTCTCTGACAAAATGAGCAAAAATTTCAGGGTCAAAGAATCACCGATATTACAGACATTTCGCGGGCGCGGCTTTCATATCCCAATCCGCTCGGATCTGCGAGTCTCCGGATATTAACCCGCAAAGTGCAACCTCTTTCTTAATCTTCACATTAAATAAATTAATAATTATTTCTTAATTAATTTTACAGTAGTCGACAAAAAGATAGCGACAAACGCATGTGAAACGAAAATCGCCTATTATCTCAACTAAAAATCGATTTCAGGAAAAATTTTTTGTTTAATTAAATACTCCATTTAATGCTCTATTTAATGAGTATAAGATCTACCGGATTATTATTTTTTGAAATACTGAAATAATTTAACTAAAAAAGTTATGCAAATTTCAGCCCGACAAAAAGATAGGGACAAGTCTTGTAACTAATTATTCACTCAACCAAAAAATTTATAAAAATTCGTGCGAACATACTGATCGATACTAAGATAAAATAAAAAAGAACTAGGCCCATATCTCGTTTTATTGTCGAGATCTCAATACCCCGAAAATCAACGTAAAACAGGGGTTTTCAACTTCAAAAAATATTTTCGACCTCTTATGGATTTTCTAAAATTTTTATTTTAAGCCCATTCGATAGCCCTTGAAATTTGCTATAAACTAGCCAAATTTCATTTTTGAGAAAAAAATATTTCGTTAGCTGTAGAGGCTAACGTCACAAAAAACAGCAAACGCCCCATAAATTGCTTCTTAAACGGCATTTTGGTGAATCGTCGTCCTTTATCTCGGGAGTGAAATTTTTTTGAAGAATGAAATTTGGCTGGTTTATAGCAAATTTCAAGGGCTATCGAATGGGCTCAAAATAAAAATTTTAAAAAATCCATAAGGGGTCGAAAATATTTTTTAAATAGTCCTACCCGTGTTTTACCCCTGTTTTTAGGGTTCCGAGATCTCGATATTGAAATGAGATATGGACCTAGTTCTTTTTTATTTCTTCTTAGTATCGATCAATATGCTTCCATAAATTTTTGTAGATTTTTTGCTTTTATGAAAACTTTGTTACAAGACTTGTCCCTATCTTTTTGTCGCGCTTAAAATAGCATAGCTTTTGTTTTTTAATAATGTTTGGATTTTATAAAATTTTAACCAGGCAAATTTTCTACTTATTAAATAGAGAATTAAATGGAGTATTTAATCAAATAAAAAAGTTTTCCTAAAATTGATGTTTAACCGAGAAAATAGGTGATTTCCATTACACTTGTGTTTGTCCCTATCTTTTTGTCGACTACTGTATTACCATTTTTTATTTTTCTTTAAAGTGCTAAATAATTGATAATTACATAATATTTGCCCTTTATGTTTTTTTATGTTTCCGCTTCGAGTATTCACGTGAAAACATTTTCCATAGGTTGTCTTCACATGATAAATATTTTTATTTAAATTAAACAATTTCCCCCTCCTCTCCTCATTCTAAAATTTTTTTTACATTTTTTTGTCTTTATACATTCTTTATAACAATTATTCTCCTTCGATTTGCCATGATTGTGTATAATTATTTTCTGTTATGTATGTATTAATTTGTATTAATTTAAATTAATATGTATTAATTTAATTAGGAATTTGGCCGTTCGTTTTATGGTTCTGATCCTGAAATGGATGATTTATATGCCAACAAAAGAGCTTGAAGAGCTGAGTCGAACGACATAAAAATTAGCCCGCGGACTCAACTTTGAGCCGAGATATAGGGATCGAAACGGTAAAATCCATGGGGTATTTTTGGGTGTAAGATTCGAATTTATAAATAATAGCTCATTCAAAAGTGCTCAACGAACTGAGTTGAATGATACCAAAATCAGTTCGATTGGATGATTATGAACAAAGTTATGACCAACAGAATCTTCGCTGGATAAACTGTTTTTGTGCTGCTCGGAGGGTAGGCCGGGCATGGTGGCCGTAACTGGTAAAACTGGAAAACTCTAGAAATGCACTGGAAAGATGGCAGATACAAATTTGGCTCTTATCTCTACATTTACATTGTAAAAACTGAGAAAATAGAAGACATAACTATGTGTCAATTCATTTTTTTGTGCCGTAGGCTCAAATTTATTTAATTTTCAATGGTCGAATTTTTTGAAAATTTTGAAAATCTAAAATAGAAGAAACACTTACAAAGTTCAAAATAAAGATCGAAAGAAAAATCTCGAAAATCGAAAGTTCGAACCAACTCTTATGAATTTGCACTTTCAATAAAAATTAACCAATAATATTTATACTATATAGGAATAAATAATCTGTATAGGAATAAATAAATCTAATCTCCTTACCATTAGATTTATTTAAAATGATAAAAACTCAAAACATTCCCCTTCGGAATAAATATTTGGTTAAAATCTTAAGTAAAAAACGCTAAAACCGAAAGTTAAGGTTGATTATTTAAAAAGATTCGCTTAACCGGAAACATGGATGGCCACGTAGCCAGATTTCTTCCCTTTTCAGCGCCGCAGGCGGAAAAAACTGCAGGCCAGCGACAGGTTAAAAATATAAAAGAAGGAGAGAAAAGGGGTCAACGGTTTATCTCTTAGAAAAGGAGAGAAAAAGTGCAAAGGCCAAGAAATTTGCACCAAATATTAAATACAAAATTAAAAAAAAGGGGGGGGGGCGGCCTTGGCCGCTTGTCATTATTGGAATTAGAAGAGGGCAACATATATTTAAAACTATTGAAGATTTGGCCATTTGCCAGGCAAAGATTAGAAAAAGGGAAATTCAAATCACAAGATTTGACATTGATTCGATCAGACGTGAAATTCTCCGACAAAATAAACAAAAATTTCAGAGCCAAAGAATCACCGGGGTTTGGGTTGCAGCCCTAATATTGACTGATATTACACATTTTGCGGGCGCGGCTTTCATATCCCAATCCGCCCGGATCCGCGAGTCTCCGGATATTAACTCGCAAAGTGCAACCTCTTTCTTAATATTTTTTCATTTGACATTGAATTATTTCTTAATTATTTCTTAATTAATTTTATTGGCATTTTTTTATTTTTTAAAGTGCAAAAAGATGTACAAACATAATTGTCCATAATTGTACATAATCGCACTTTGTTTTTATGTTTCCGCTTCGAGTATTCACGTGAAAACATTTTTCTTTATCATTCACTCCATAAGTTGTCTTCACATGATAAATATTTTTATTTAAATTAAACAATTTCCCCCACCTTTCCTCATTTTAAAATTTTTTCTTCATTTTTTTATTAACAGCTTGCCTTTATACATTCTCTATAAAAATTAACTAGTCAGTCTCCTTCGATATTTGCCATGTGTGTATTAATATTTTCTGTTATTTAATTTTTGGATGGGCAATTTAAATAATTATTAATGAATAATTAATAATTAATAATGAATAAATAATTATAAATTATTAATTATTTAAATTATTCTAATAAATTTTAAAAATATTTTTTCTCTAAGCTTCAAATAAAAAGAATTTTTTTCTATTTTCTCTATTTTATCTTAATAACTTTTAATTTAAAACAATGAAAATTTTTAAAAAATCTATTTAAAAGTAAAAATAAATTTAAACAAAATTTTTTCCAATTTTTTAATTTAGATGACTCGAAAAAAATTAATTTTAATTTTTTATTTATTCCTTTTTTTGCTTCAAAATGTTCCTTGTCAAAAAAGTCAAGGAACTTCTGGGAGAGTTTCAAGAATTAGTTCAATTTCTGCTGAGTCTATGCGAAATTATGAATTTTCTGGATTTAAAACAGATAGAGTTGTGGCAGAAGAATATGTTCAAAAATTGGTTGGGAAAACCCAATATTTTATGCCTGAAATGATTGAAGCTGATATTTATTGTAATGATAAATTATCGAAAAAAGAAAAGGAAGGGGAGGCTATAGAAGAACCTGAAAATTCAAAAAAGGATTTAAAAGGGTGTAAATCTATAACCTCAAAAGATAAAACTGTTGAAAAAATATTGGAATATATTTATTTGCAAAAAAAGAAAATGTCAGAGAATATGAGAGAACAATTTGAGAATGTTTTGATACCGACAAATATTAAATGCAAAATTGGGTTCCCTTTACCAAAAAATATTTTTGGGAAAGCATTCCTTCTCGATTCGGCTTTGTCTTTTTCAGAAGACGATTTAAAAGAATTGGTAGTTGGTAAAGAGAAAATGGTTTACGAGAAAACGAAGGAAAATGATGAAGAGGAAAAGGAGGAGGAGGACAATAATGATGATGATGACGATGATGATGATGAAGGAGATGTCCAATTAAGTACATATGTATTGTTAGAAGCTATATATAAAGGAAGTAAAGGATTCGGTAAAAAAGTAGTATTGAATTGGGAGAAAATACCGGAAACAGAATATAAATATGAAATTAAAAAAAGACAAAGATTAAAAGATATTGGAAAAAGAATATACAAAAAGGCATCAGATTTGTTGAGAGAAATTATAAAAAGTGTGGAGAAAAAGGTGAACAAGGATAAAAGATGGAAAAATATGAAAGGAGGGGCAAAAACATTTTTTAGGAAATTAAACCCTTTTGGAAAGCCAAAAACATCTCCTGCAAGTTCTATACCGAGAGAAGAGGAACCTTTAGGGGAAAAAGCAAATTCGCCTCTTTTGTCAAATCGAGAGGAGGGGGTAGAAGAGGAACAACCGGAAGGAGTAGAAGAAGAATTTAGAATATCAACACCCCCTTCAACAGGAATTACACCATCACCTCAAACAAAGAGTAAACTGTCAACTTTATATTCTTTTCAACAACGTACTGAATCTTCTTCAAATATAGAAAGACATAAACGAGTCCATTCTGAAGGTTCAAACATTCCGGTTATTCAGACACATGTAGAGTTGAAGGTTATTTTTAGTTTATTTTTAAATTAATGTTTATTAAAACGAGAAAATTTGCAAAATACATTGAGAAATTATATTTAATAAAAAAAACTAGGATTCAGAAAATCTTAAAAATATTATAAGGGATAGAAGTGTGACAGAAGTACACTTTTAATTTAGCTCTGTTTAAATTTACTAATCTATAAGAAAGATTCTAATTTTTAGAGTCAAGCAACTTCGGAACGACGTTCCTTTATTGAGCAAATTGTTGAAACAGACGAGGACATTGAAGCTATTAAAAAATTGGAAAGATCCGGAAAGTCAAAAGTAGATGGTAAAGTAAAAGAAGAAATTAAAGTAAGAGTTAAATCAATTAAAAGGAAATGGCTAGATGAAATAAATAAATTAAAATCCTTTGAAGAGAAGGAGAATAAAATAAGAGAATGGAAGAAAATTATTGAAGATTGGGAGAAAAAAGCTAGGGAAATTTTTGATGAGAAAATTGAGGTAAAAAAGGATGAAGAAGGTCATAAAAGGTTGATTGAACAACAAGTTCACCCATTCAGATTCCTTCAGGTGTGAAAATTTAATTAAAATTAATTAAAGAGTAAGTTAGGGGGGGGGGGCAATTTAAACGATCGAGATATTTAAGAGGAAAGGATTAGTAATTTCCGGCTTATAGGCAGAACTGAGCTCGGAATCGTTTTAGAACAAAATCGTTCACCAGAAATAAGGTGTGGGGGATTAGACCGGGGGAAGGATTGAGAAAGTTTTTTGTTCCTAGAGTGAGCAATTCAATAATAATGGAATGTGAGAGTTAATTAAAATCTAAATAAAATTTAGGAAGTAAATTTTGGAGTAAGTATTAAACCGTCAAATAAACGTTTCAACGAGATTAACGGAGCGGAATATGAGGAAATAATTGAATTCCTCAAAAATCCAAAAAAATTTCTTGTTTGGCCTCCAAAGAAGAATCAGAAAAATGAAAACGATTCAAGAGGAAGTTATGAAAAGAAATCTGAGGAAGAGATAATTGAACAGTCAGAACAACAAATCAAAGACACTGAAAAGGAGGAAAAAGATGATCCATGGGGAAATCATATAAATAGATGGGAAAATAAATTAAGTGAAAAAATAATGAAATTTATGTTTTGGGAAATGAAAAAAATTGAAAAGAGATTGGAAAAAGAAGGTAAACTTGTAGAAGAAGAAGAAGGAGAGGAAGAACAAAAAGAAGAAGAAACTCAAATGGAAGTATCAGAAATTGAACTTGTCCCAATTAGCGGTCAAAGTAGGGATAAAGGCAAAAAAATTGAAGAAGAAAAATCGTCGTCTGAAAAAGCGCCGATAGAAACAGTCCCTAATGATGAATATATAAATAAAGTAATTAATGAAGAATTTGAATGGTTAAAACTTGGATTTGGAAGAAGAGTTTTGGAAAAGTTTATGAAAAAGGAAAAAATAAAAAAATATAGAAAATTTAATATTAAAGTGTTTGTTGAATTTAGAGATGATTTGTTAAAAATTGATAAAGAAATTGAAAATTGTCAACAAGTAAAGGACCCGATACTAGCTGTGTTTAGATATGAGGGGAAAGATGATATGGTACATCAAGAATTCCGTGGGAGGTCTGTAAATTATTTTTGTAAAAATTTTTAATAAATATGTGTTTACTTATAGAATGGGTGCTCAAATAATTGCTTCAGTGTATAACGCCAAACAATTAACACAAGATATATTAAGGGCTATGCTTTTAAGTATGGTTGGCGCTGGAATAATTGCTGCAGCTCTGGATCTTGGCGTTTGGGTTTTAGTAATTAAAATAGTTTTGCATACAAAATGTCATTGGTGTGCACAAATTGTTGGTGCTTTACTTTACTCATTAACACCTCTCTTTGCCGAAACTTTTGATTCTCTTGTAATTAAAAGATTATTAGTAACATTTGATGGAGGAGAATTTTGGCCTGATACTTTGGATAAATTTAATGATAATTTAAAAGATGCTTTTGTTGCTGGAAGAATTGCAGCTGCTGGTTCCATATTTAATAATATATTAGGAATGGAAAAGATTACAGAAAGATTGGGAGTAAGATTATTGTTTCCAAGTGTTCCTTCTAATCAGGTAAACTTTCATATATGAGTGTTTGGATTAGAGAGAATCGTGATTAGAGTGAAAGCGAGAATAGAGATCTCAAAGAATATCGATAACCGAAATTTTTGTTCGAATCTCGTCTCGCCCCGATTTCTAATTTGGATATGTCGGAGGATATATGTACATACCTTTACTGTCATTAATCATACCAGCGTAGAACTAGTTACTGGTATTCGAATCATTTTTCTAGCAAAAAAGATATGAATCGTGAGATATACGAAATTTTTGGTTCGTTTATTGGATATCGGGGGGTTTCTTCCCCCTATATGCCGGATTTTCTACTAAAAATATTTTAAAAGTTAATTATTTCCCCATATGTAGTTGAAAACATGCCCGAGAATACATAGTTGTACCGTTATTTCTAACAGTTTCCACTTTAAATTAAAGATAGCAACATCCACCTCTGGTGCAATGGTACCTCTAGAATTTCATGAATGGCGTGATCATCAACGTGCTGCCCTCTATAAATTATATGATCAAGGATTTCTCCCAAAACCCGATATAAACACAATTGTTGTTGAATGGAGAGAAAAGAAAAGGAATAGAATTTGGCATAAAGTGACATTTAAACATTTTATTCAAAAAACAACTCCAATAATTACATCGGAAGAAAAAGATTTAGCCTTTCGTGAACATATAAAATCAAAAATTGAGGCATCTATGGATATTCAAAAAACATCTGCTATGGCACTTAATTCAATGGGAATTGGCTCTTTATTGAGCCAAATAGTTTTATTAGTCTTATTTTTCCCTGTTCGCAAAGGAATAATATCAGAACCTGTTGAAAAGATTTTTTTAATTATTGTGAATACTCCAACTGAAATTCTTTCTTTTGGTGCTGGAATTATTGCCTCTAAATGGGGCGCGGAAAAAGTTGAAAAATGGTGGAGTAGTGATGATATGAAAAATAAACAGATGGTAAAGATTGAATTTATTTTCTTTAGTTTAATCCTTTGAGCACATATGTCCTTTAATCATTTGAGCACAACTTACTTGGATTATTTAAATTTTATTATACCTACCATCCATTAATCTAGTAAATCGAGGTTGGAGGAGGGAAGTATTTTAATGTTCAAAATTATTTTTTTGAAATTTAATTATTAAATTTAGTGACAAATTTCTTAAAATTAAAGAAGAATAATTTTAATTTTCATTAAAATTTTCATTACCTGAATGTCTAATATTTATTTTAAAGGTTCGTCTTATAATTGACCGAACAATAAAACAAATAGACCATCCAGATAAAGAATTTCAAGAAATTAAAGAAAATGAGATATATAAAATATATCATCCAAAATTACAACTTTTGTTCAGATACGGCAAATGGATCACAAAATTTATGATTGTCACCTTTAAATTTATGACAAAACCGTCATTATTTAAACAAATAAATTTAAGTAAAATGACACTTCCTTTATTTAAAGAGGAAGAAATAAATGAGGATTTAAATTTTAAAATTTCTTATTTGCCCGAACCTCTAGATAAAATGACAAAAATGCCGGGAATTGATGAAGAAAAATTAAATGAATTTATTGAAGATATTGGTTAGTCTGTTAAATAAATAAATAATATTTGGGGCAATATTTTGATCATATTTTATGGTATGATCAAACGAAAAATATTTTATCAATTCAAAAATTTTTTCTTTTATTTTATGAGGACTTAAGGGGTGGAAATATTCTTAAATCGGTGTCTAATTAATTCGATAACAATTTTAGGAGAATATTTTGAGAATCACAAATTAACATTAACTGAAAGTCATCATTATATGACAATTTTAAATAATTGGGAAGAGAATAAAAATGGGGAAAACTCTAAAAATAAGGGAAAATTAAAAGAATTGATAGAAGTAAATGAAGGAGAGGAATCATTTTTTGATTATTTAAAAAGGATAATATTGAACGAAAAATATGAAAAAATAAATTTTGAAGTAAACAATACATTTGAAAAAGTTTGTAAAATATTTAAAAATAATATTTAATTTATTTTTAAAAATAAAAAAATTTATATGAAACTTTAGGAATTCTAAGGAAACAACAATTTATAATATTTAATTTTTTCTAAAATTTCAATATTTTTGGTTCGAAAATGCCCAAGTTTTTGTTATAAAAATATTAAATAGAAAAAAGTTAAACAACTTAAATTTGATATTTTGATAAAATTTAAACAATTCTATATTAATTATTTTTAAAAATGTGTGATTACATAGTAATTTAATGAAGTTTAAGTAATTTAATTTAATTTTTATGGCTTTTAGGAAGTCATTTACACAGGCAAATTTTTAAATTATCATAAACTCTTTTCTCTTTTTATTTCTTAATCATTTAAATCCTGTTTTATAGTCTCAACTTTTCTATTTATTAAAAATAATTTAACAAAAAATTTTCAGATGAAGAAATTAAAAAATAAAAAAATTCTTTCGCCTGCACTAAAAAAGGTGTTAGAAAATTTTGAGACACATATAAAATACAAAAGTGAAATAATAAAATGCAGTTTATATGCAAAAATATTAAATTTTACTGCTTTGAAGATTGATAATGAAGATGAAGATGATTCTAAAATTAGAAGATTAGGAACAAAAATTAATGAAGAAGAAATGGAAATTGATACAAAATATTTGTTAAGAAGAGAATTTTTAACAAAATTACAAGAAAATTTAAATTATAATGATTTAAATCAAATTGGTTTGTTTTTGAATAATATTTTCGAAAATTGAAAATGAGTGATCTTTTAAAAAAATTCGGCCGAAATAAAACCGATATTTAACTAAAATTGAAAACTGGGTTTTTAAAATTATGATTAAATGAGAACCGAGGGTAACTAGCAGTTAATAACCAATTGCCGGCAACAAACTTGGCTTATCTAAGAAGGCATTTTAATACTTGATTGGCTCTGGATGGGAGAGACACTTCCCTAGCTAAGAGAATATATAATTTTTAATAGTACTTTATTATAAGATGATATTTTTCATCAGCAAAGTTGTATCCTATAGTAAGATCTGACTGATTGTATTTCATAAATAAATATAATATAATTTCGCAAACTATAATTCTAAATACCCTCTTTTCTTTGTCTCCTATAATATACAAAATCATTTTTAGAGAGTTTTGATATTTCTGAAAATGCTCCAGACTTTCTTGCATTAACAATTAAAGAATTCCAAAATAAATGTGATTTTAAAATTTCTCCAAAAAATGTAATTAAAAATGATGGGTGGTCATATTTTTGGCAACCAGATGATAATGATTCTACAGAATATGAAAAAGTTGAGGAACATTTAACGTCTAATTTAAAAAAAGAATTAAATAAAACTTTAACAAAAGATGATAAATTTGAGAGAAAAATATGGGAAAGAACTATGGATATGGCTAGGAGACGGTTAAATTTAAATAAATATTTAAAAGAAATGGCTAAAAAAGTAGAAAATTTTAATAAAAATTTGAAAAAAATTATTAAAAAATTGGACAATCAAAATTTGCTGTTGAAAGAAATTAAAAAATTAAAAAAGTTGGAAGAAATTAAAGCAAAAGTAATTTATTTATATTTAGAATTTTAAACGTACAAACATATAAGAGAAAAAGTTTAAAATATTTCATTAGATTCGACTTGGACATAGGCAGCTTTTCTGGGAATGACAAAATTGGAAACCTTTTGGGAAAGAAACTTTTGGAAAAATCCAAATATATTTCTTTAATTATATAAGGGTCTGAAAAATTGAAGATAAAATTAAGTATATCTCCATTATTGGGTCGCAAATCCCGGTCAACAAAATTAAGAAAAAGAGCACAAAATTGTTTTGTAACTGAAAATATGTAAAATTCATTATAAATTATATTTAGGTACAAGGAGAAGATAAAGCTTATCGTGAGCGTTTTATTTCAAAAATTGAATTTCTTGATAAAAATTGGAAATATTTGGTTAGTGGATATGCAGACATCGGCCATTTATTCATTGGCTATTGTTTAGCAAAACGTTTCCAATTTATTTTTAACAATGAGGGACAGGCAAAAACAAAATTTTATAAAGAAACAAAATCCCATTTATTTAAATATGCAAAAAAAATTAATAAAATTTTGGGAAACAGAAGAGTAGATTTGGAATATTATAAAAATTTAGAAGAAAATTTTAAAGAAAAAATTCTTTTAAAAATTGGAAAGGAAGGAGAAGGGTCTTCAAAAACAGCGGGAGATTTACATTCATTTTTGGATAATGACTGGGGAAATATATGTGCTATTGATAGAGGACATCCACAATTTGAAAAGACCGATGAGTGGGCACTTCAACATTGTAGTTATATATTTTATTTTTAATAAAATATTAGAGTTCGAACTTTTCATAATGCCGGGCCCGGAACCCGGTTTTTTTTTCACAAAATCGCACCCGGACCGGTTTTTCCGGATAAAACCGGAAAAACCGGTTAGCCCGGAAAAACCGGATTTTTTCAGACCCGGGCCCGGACCCGGTTTTTTCTAAATTTATTAAAACATGAAAAAATTATTTATTTAATCAAAAAATCCTTAACTCATCCAATCATTAACTCATCTACACGGCCAAAAAGGGTCAACTCATTAAATCATAAATATGCACCCCAAGAGCTAGATTCGTGACAAAAGCATAACAAAAACAAGAGTGGACCCTACAAATCTTCGATATCCACCTTAATCCCTTAAATCGATAGATCCACATTAATCCTCCGATATCCTATTAAAATCACACGTTATATCCAAATTCACTTTGGAGTATACCACTTTAGTAATCGATCAAAAGGGATATTAAGCGGGATAAAAAAGATATATGGTGTGTAACATAATTATAAAGGAACCCATATTTTCGGTCATATCTCGAGTTTTTCTGGATGAATTTGTCTGAATTTTATATATGTGATAAAAAACGTTATTTTGGCATAAAATGCAAAAAATGAAGCAATTTCATCAAAATTTAAATTTTTTATGATTTTTTTTCAAAAATTTGGTGTAACATAATTATAAAGGAAGTGAAAATAATTTAACTAAATATGGTAGAAAAAATCCACAAAAATTCCAGTGAACATATCTATTGATATCAATGAGAAATACAAAAGAAATGAAGTTCAGATGTACTTCCATCATTGAGATCTCGAAACCCGAAAATCAACGGAAAACAGGGGGTAGACGTCTTTAAAAAATATTTTCGACCCCTTACAGGTGAAATAAAAATTTCATTTTGGGCTTATTTGAAAGCCCTTGAAATTTGCTACAAGATAGCATTAATTTTATTTTTTGAAAAAAATTTACCTATAAGACCTGATGTGATAAACTTTCATGTCAAAGAAATCACTCAAACGCCCCCAAAAAAAGTGATGAAAATGCTTTTACTCATTATTTCTCAAAGAAAAATTTTTTCGGATTATGAGATTAAACTTATCTTGTAGAAAATTTCAAGGGCTTTCAAATAAGCCCAAAATGAAATTTTTATTTCACCTGTAAGGGGTCGAAAATATTTTTTAAAGACGTCTACCCCCTGTTTTCCGTTGATTTTCGGGTTTCGAGATCTCAATGATGGAAGTACATCTGAACTTCATTTCTTTTGTATTTCTCATTGATATCAATAGATATGTTCACTGGAATTTTTGTGGATTTTTTCTACCATATTTAGTTAAATTATTTTCACTTCCTTTATAATTATGTTACACCAAATTTTTGAAAAAAAATCATAAAAAATTTAAATTTTGATGAAATTGCTTCATTTTTTGCATTTTATGCCAAAATAACGTTTTTTATCACATATATAAAATTCAGACAAATTCATCCAGAAAAACTCGAGATATGACCGAAAATATGGGTTCCTTTATAATTATGTTACACACCATATTTTATATCCCTTGAGATATCTTCTAATTCCCTTCTATATCCCTTCTATCACCCAAATTCCACTAAATCTCTTTAATCTTTTCAAATTTGCCTCTCTCGAGATTCCCTAAAATTCAATTATGCAACATAACTTGTCTCTCTACAATTTACCCATTAATCCTCTTAAATTGGCATATATCTTAATCTTAATTTGGAGTAATTTTAGCCTTGATCCAATTTGGAGTACAACTTTAGCATATTCAAATCTGGGTTTCAAAAATTTTTAATATTTTTAAATCACAAATATAAAGATTTACGACTATGGTAGGCTGGGCGGCGTAAGGCTGGTCTACTCTAGCAAAACACGTAAAAGCTTTCTTCGCCGCAGGCGAAAATTTTTTGAATTTTGGAGCTTAAAAAGCCAAATTTCTTCCATTTTCAGCGCCGCAGGCGAAAATTTTGGGAAATTTCGGAGTCCTTAAGACATATTTCTTCTTCGTCAAAAAGACTCCGGGCCCGGCAAAAAATTACCGGGCCCGGGACCCGGTTTTTTTACTCAGGATCGCACCCGGGCCGGTTTTTCCGGATAAAACCGGAAAAACCGGTTAGCCCGGAAAAACCGGATTTTCTCAAAAATACCCGGTTCCGGGCTACCGGGCCCGGAAAAAACCGGTCCGGGCCCGGCCCGGGTTCGAACTCTATAAAATATATAAGGAAATAATTAATCTTAGATGGAATATTCAAATATATAAATTCTAATTCTTTAATTAATTTCAGTAAATATATAAATTCTATCATAAACGTTCAGAAAATATTTAATTTAATTAACCTATTAATTTTAATTTTTAAAAGTAAAAACTGTACAAGAAGACAATTTCCATCTTGCTGATATGGAATTCATGGAGGTCGAACCTATTGATTTTAAGCAAATGGAGTTTGATACCAATGAATGGGCTGAATTTAAAAAAGGAGCATGTAAAGATTTTTTAAAATGAATATTTTTTTATATTTTATTAAAATTTCAGTGGATCGTTTACAAATTCATCGTTTAACATTTACTGAAGCACACACATTTATTGTTTGTTTAAATAAAATATTGCATAAAATATCAAAAGATGGACACGAAGTCTCACGGGGGGCGGTTGAAGGGATTTCTTTTGTAGGAGAAATTGAAACAAGCAAAATAAATGACAAGGAATTAAGCAAATATTTAAAAGAAATTGAAAGTATTTATTGGCAATCGAAAGAAGAAATTAAAAATGTATTTAATTATATTTTAAAGGGACGAGTTTATTTTTATTTATTAGAGTTTCTATGGGAGAACCTTCTAATAGAAACACCCTCTAATTGAAGTGCAGTCTCTAATAGAAGTACACCCTATGAGAGGATCGAAAAATAGAAGTAATGTGCTTCAATTAGGAGATTTACGTTATATATCCAGTAAAACAGATTAATTCCTCATTAGGGGATTTCAAAACATACATAAATCACTTCCCCTTAAAATTAATTTGAATAATCAAAAATTTAATTTTAAATAATTTAAAGTTGCAAGAATATCAAAATGACCACCAAAAACTAATTCTAAAAAAGGAATTATCTCGAATAGAAACAGAAATTCAATTAAAAGAAAAATTAAAAGAATTTGAATTATCTACATATATTTTGAAATTTGTTGTTTTAAAATTTTATAAAAATAATTTAATTGAAGAAAATGAAGAAAAAATTGTGGAAATAAATTCAGAAAATAAAAAAAATATAAAAAAATTAATTAAAAATTTAAAAAATAAATTTGGTAATTCTGAGGAAATTGGAAAGTTAATTAAAAATCTGGAAAAAGTAAAAATTTCTAAAAATAAAGATTTAGAAGAATTTTTAAATAAAGTAATTAAAATTGAAGAAAAAATAAAAGAAAAGTTTAAAAAATTGGAAAATACGGGAAAATATGATTTAAATAAATTAAAAAATAATGAAATAAATAAAAAATTGGAAAAAGATGAGAAAGAATATATTGAGAGATTAAAAAATAAATTAATGTTTTTAGTTAAAAATTTTGAAAAATTAACAAAAAATATTAAATTAGAAAAAGAAATTGGCGAAAAAAGTCAACAACAAAAACAGGAAATGATTGAAAAAGGAGGAGAAATTACTTCTGAAAGGAAATCGGTTAATTAATTAAAAATAAAAAAGTTTTTATTTAGTATGGTAAATAACGGTAAATAACTCTCAGTTTCGGTTATTTCGATTTTTAAAAGCCAGGTTTTTAGTTATACAGTAAGGATTCTCTTAAATTTGCATAAAAACGGTTAATTTTTGGAAAAACGGCTAAATTTTCCATTTAAGTTTTTCTGTTAATACTAAAGGGTTAACTAATGATTAAATAGATCTAAAGGGGATAAAATAGAATAAAAATTTAAAACTCGAAATATTTTATTTTAGACTTCACAAAGTGATGGACAAATAAATATTTCGAATCTAATAGCCATTGGTTATTGTTTAACAAATAAATTTTTGGAAATGTTTAACGAAGATGGAGTTGTTAATATGGATATTTTATTACAAAATATTTCAAACACAAATTTGGTAGAATATGGACTGAAAATGAATGAAAAATTGGGAAAGAAAAGGGTTGATAAAATGTAAATAAATTAATCTAAATTAATTTAAAATAATTAATTAATTTAAAGGTATTATCAACAAATAATTAATTTTTATAAGAATTTTATAAATATTAATTTAAAAAATCATTTGGAGAATAATTGGAATTATTATTGTTATATTGAAAAAAATGTGGAATTTGAGAGGCCTGAGGAATGGGCAGTTCATTATAGTAAATATTTATTTATGTTATTATTAATATTTTTAATAAATTTAAAATATTGTCAAAAATCTAGAAAAATAACTTAAAAAAGACTAAAAAAACTTTAAATATTTAATTAAAAATTAATTTATCTAATTTTAATTTAATAAAATTTAAAAATTTTTAAAATAAAAGGTAATGAAATTGGCATGCAAAATGATGGTTTTCGATTGGAATATATTGGAGAAATTGATAATTTTGATATTAATAAAGAAGAATATAAATTAACTTTAAAACAAAAAGAAAATATTTTCGAAGCACTAAGTAAAAAATTTAAAAAAAAATTAAGAAAAATATCTTTTAATTTAAGCGAGAAATTCAAATCTTCACAAAGTCACTTTCTTCGAAGCTGATAATATTCTTAAAATAATTATTTCCAAAAATAATTTAGAGGAGCAATCACAAACAAAACAACAACAACAAACACAGAGTCATTCAAAAGATGAAATACAAACAGAATTTGTTAAAAATATTACTCAAACATCTTCTTCTTTGTCGGCAGATAAAGAAAATATTTACAAAAGAATTAAATCTGAATTGAAGAAGGTGGTTATTTTATTTATATTTAATTTTTATTTAAAAATTTGCTAAGAAACTTTCGGAGGGATCGTTTAATATTTTTTGATTAAATATTGTAAAGCCAATGCAAGAGGAGGCATGGTGTAGCTATTTATCCTTAAGGATAAATAGCTGTAACTCTGCTCTGATTTATAATTTTGATATTTATTTTCCGGAAAAATATTGAATGATTTTTTGAGGATATATTTATTTAATAAATAATTTTACTAATAATTATTTCAAAATTAAATTCCAAAAATAATTAAATATATTTAAAGATAATACAAGACGACACCGAAGAAAATAAAATTCTCAAAACATCCAAAGTCAATTCAGAATTCTTCCAACAATTTGAATGGAATATAAAATTAAAAATAAAATATCAAAAATGTTTGGAATTAATTCTGTTTTTGAAAGCAATATTATTAAATAATTCTGAGTTGAAAGAATTAAATAATTCAATATTTCTTCAAATAAACGAGAAATATGAGTTAATTAATTTAAATGAAATAAATAAAGAAATTGAAGAGTTAAATTTAAATAAAAATTCAAAAGAAGGCAAAAAATTAGAAAAAGTTGTTAAATTGTCAGAATATGTTTATGAAAAAATTAGAGAATTAAATTACAAATTATTAAACAAAAATAATGTTAAAAATTGCAAGAAAGATTTGGATGAAGTGTCTAAAGAAATAATTAATTTAATTAAATTAATTAATAAAATAAATCCTTTAATTGGTTATTTTGAAGAATTAAAAGAAATTGAGAAAAAAGTTAAAAAAAGAAATAAAAAAGAGAAGAAGGAAAATGATGGGTTTACAGATGAGGAAATTAATTTAGGAAATGAAATTTTAAATAAAATAAATAATTTGATAGATAAAGCAGTTAAAGAATTTAATGAAGGAATTGAAGAAAAATATAAAATTTTAAAAGAAAATGCGGAAAAAATAATTTTTGGAAATAAAGAAAATAAAAATTATTTTTATTTGGAAATATTGCCTGAAATTGATGAAATTAAAAATTATTTTAAATATTCTGGTGATCTATTTGTTGGTTATTGTTTAACTAAAAGAATTGAAAATTCATTCAACAAAGATGGAACTGTGAAATTTTCTGATTTTTTGAGTGATGGTGTTGGGCATGAATATGGATTGGAATTGAAAGAATTCTTGGGGCAAACACGAATTGATATGAAGTATATAAATATAAATTAAATAAAATTTTAATTGAAAAGCTAAGTATTGACCTTCTCGGTCAATACTTTCTCGGTCATTACTCAATACTAATATTTCTAATCAGCACAGGGATTTACTGATATTAGGCTTTTTTAGCTCCATAAATAAAAGCTAAAGTACTAATACCGTATCTACTCTGGTAATTCCCCAGGGGGATTATTGTTTCAACCCATCTCTAGGGTGGGGAATTAATAGAGACTGGGGAATTATTAGAGTGGGGTAGAAAGAGGGGGATTATTGTTTCAACCCATCCCCAGGGTGGGGAACAGGGATGTCACGGGTTGAGAAAAATGTCGGGTCGGGTTTCGGATCGGGTTTCCAAAATTTTTCTCGGATCGGGTTTCGGGTTGAGCAAAAAGTCGGGTCGGGTTTCGGATCGGGTTTTCAAAATTTTCTTCGGATCGGGTTTCGGGTTTCGGGTCGAAAAAAAGTCCGGGTATCTTCCCTTCTCAGCGCCGCAGGCGAAAAATTTTGAATATTCTGGAAGGTCCGAAGCCAGATTTCTTCCTTTTTCAGCGCCGCAGGCGAAAATTTTTAGAATTTTGGAAGATCATTAAGCTAAAAATCTTCCCTTTTTCTCCGACGAGGGCGAAAATTTTGAGAAAACTCGGGTCGGGTTTCGGGTCGGGTTTTGAAAAATAAAAATTCTCGGGTCGGGTTTCGGGTCGGGTTTCAGAAAATTTCTCGGATCGGGTTTCGGGTATCGGGTCGAAAAAAAGGCCGGGTTTCGGGTTTCGGGTATCGGGTTTCGGGTAACCCGTGACATCCCTGGTGGGGAATTAATAGAGACTGGGGAATTAATAAAGACTGGGGGATTACTAGAGTAAATACGGTAATTTACTTGTATATTTGGCATAATCACAAGTAGCGCATAACTATGCTATTATAATTTTTTAATACTTATAATCTCTTAATTAACAATTCATTTTCTAGATACTATAAGAAAATTCAAAAACAAATTTTCAACAACCTTATAAATAAATGTTATGAAATTGGAAATGAATTTATTAAAAAGTGTGAATTGTTTATAAATCATGAATTACAAAATTGGCATGCTTTTTGCTCTATTGATACAGAAAATCTGCGTTATGAACGTTTTGAGGAAATGAATATTGTTCCAAATAAATTTTTGAATGAAGAAAAGGTTAATGAGGAGAATTCTGTAGAAGAGTTGTCAGATGAGGAATGAAGAAGAAAATTGTAAAAAAAAAAGAAAGAAAAAATATTTTTTAGATTTATCTTTAAATTTTATGTTTTTATTTTTTGGGTTTTTATTTACTAGAATTATTTTGAAGGGTATATTTTAAAATTTATATAGTAGTTTTTCTAACCTCAAGTTTAAAATTCCCGTTTTAGTTAATCAAAAATTTGTATATTTTTGATCCAAATTAAGAGATTTTTTAGAAATTATTTTGATGAAACAGGGATTAGGAGAATTTACATTTAGTATAAAGAAAAACTACTATAAATAGAAATGTATATAGAAAATTATGTAAAAGTATATCGCTGAGGCAGATCCACAATGTGGCCAGAAATTTCAGAAATTGAATTTCAATTCACGTGTGTCTGATATACATAGAATGTATTTACGAGGAAGATTCGACTATTGAAAAAATTGTCACTTTTTTATAATAGTCCTTCCTAGCGAAGTGATTTGTGAAAACTTGCTTTGAAGGCCCAGATTCGGTAGACATGTGCCATTCGAAAATACGTGTCAATCGACTAAAAAAGCTCGACGAGCTTTTCAATAGTTTTTCGAAAACCGTTTGCCCCCTATGGTTTTTCAATATTCAGAGACCTGTCTATTTGTCCATAGTTAAGATTGTCCATAGTATGTATATCGAGCATATAGGAATTCAGGCCTTCAAAGCAAGTTTACCGAGAGTTGAAAGTCCCCATGGACTATTTTATTGGATTAACGATATTTATTATTTAAAATGTAGTTTAGTCATTACAGTATAAATATTTCAAAGTTTTTATTTTAAAAATTTTTCTGTAAAATTTCAAACCTCGAAGAGGGGTAATTATTTGAGGGAAGGAGTTAATTGAGGAAATATAGTAATTTACGCTTAATAAAAATTTCTAAATTAAAAAACCGTCATCTGTGGGAAAACTTGACTCTAAATAAATATACGAAAAGTATAGTTGCTCCATAAAAACCATCTATTTTTAAGCAAGTTTATCATAGAATCAGTTCTTAATATTGTTTCACCTCTAAATAACCTTAATTTAAGGTCCATTTTTAATTTGTTATAGTAGGTAGAGGAGCTGCATAATAAATAAATATTTTCATTTAAGAATACTTTAATATTCATAATTTTAATTTAAAAAATGATTAATTTTTTAAATTTTCTAGAAAGTATTTTGTCATACTTTCATTCAAAAGTTTTCTAAAATGTTAAAATTTCTAAGTTATGATTCATCTAATTTTTCCAAATTCTTCAAAATTTAATTAACCTTTAAATATTTTTTACACTAATCTTTTCTATTTTTAAATAATTTTTCCTTATTTTAAATAAAATTTAAAACTGCTTTAAGAATTTTTTTGAGATTATTATTATTTTCAAAAAATATTTTTAGACAATAATTTGGTATATTTATTTTTTTAAATCAAAGCTTGTTTTTTAAACTCGCAATATATTCATACAACCGAAGTCTATTTTATTTTAGAATTAAAATTTTTGTAATTAGCTACTCTCTTAACTATATAAATATTTTAATAATTAAAAATTAAAATATATTTAATTATTTTTTATTTATTTTTTCTAAATAAAAATAAATTTTCTTTCCTAACCAACTTGTTCCATCACGTAATTTATCGTAAAAATTTTCATCTCCTCTCCCTTTTCTCTCTCAACAACCTCTTTGCGCAATTGAGAAAAGCACAAAAAGTGATAGCTTTGTTGAGGGGAACACATTCTTTTCTATTTGGAGAGAAAATATTTTAATAGAAGAAACCACTCTCCATTTATGCGCAAAAGCTATTGATTTTTAGTTTAGATTGTTCACAATTAAAAAAAGCCGCAATTGAATTTTTAGAGAAGAATTTTGAATTCTTTTGAAGACAAAAAAATTAAAAAATAATTTTTATTTTAAAAATCAATCACAAAATTCTTGAAATATATTAAATTAATCAGTATTTTTATCCCCTTATTCAATTAATCTTTAGTAAACAAAAATATTTTTAATTACTTCCTTGTTTAGTATAATAATTTAGTACATATAATAATTGTATTAATAATTTAATTTTAAGTTTAATTTCTGTTAAGGAAAAGTTTTCATTTTTTCTTTAAATAATTTTGTAAGTATCTTTATATAAAATTAATAATTTTAGTTTATTTTTAAAAATAATTTTATAATTTATTTTATTTCAATTTTTATTTTAATTTTACAAAAAATAAAAGAAATATTTATTTATTTATTTATTTAGATCAAGTTCTACAAATTAATTTCTTTCCCACAAAACGAGTTTTTTTTCTTAATATCAATAACTTTTTCTTGGCCTTATTTCCTTTATTTTTACACAATTATTATTTAATAAGTAGGTAGTAATTGTCTTTTTTATTTGAATTGAAAATATTTTACTAAAATAAATATTACAAGTTTTTGTTCTTCAAATAATTTTTAAAGGGAAGGACAGACATTTATTCTATTTTGATTTTCTTTGAATAAAATTTTGTTTTCCTCAACATTCTCAAGAAGTTCTAGAAGTTCTAAAATATTTTAAGTGTATCTAGGAAATAAAATAATTTTATTAAAAAATAAATTTTGTAAATTGAAAAAGGGTCTTTTTTGTTATTTGACCGCAAACTGAGTGCCAGCCGACTTTGAAAAGCTATAATTTTTTGATGCTTGATCCAGTACAAATGAATTTTGTATTATTTCAAAGCCCTCGATAATCTCTATCTTTTTATAATAAGATAGATCAAGTTATAACCCGATACGTTATCAGTTTCCGGTCGTATACATACCTTGAAGAATCTTAAAATTAAAAAAATCTTAATTTATAAATTAAGATACAAAAATTTTTAATTTCCTTCCATTTACCAGCTAAAACTTTTTTAAAATTCATTTTCTCCCTTTCTTTTTTTTCCTAAAATCGCTAGAGGTGCTAATTTTCACTCGCGCCTTCAAAATAATTATACATATAAATAAATTCTTCTCCAATCAGTTAAAATAAAAATATATTTATTAGTCAAAACCTCCGATGAATCAATGCTTTTTTCCTCAATTCCCTTCTTATTAATTAAAAAAATCTTTTATTTAATTTTTCTAAATTTTTTTATTTTAAAGTTTAAAGACAAAAATTTGTCAAAAAATTACAAAAAAAATTTTTATAAAAATGAAGATAAATAACAGAAATCCCTTCAACACATTTTTAGAACAACAATTATTTAATTTAAATATTAAACGACGGAAAGAACGATGGAGAATTAATAAATTAATATTATTACAGTTTCTAACAAAATTAAAAATATTTTTATTTATTTTTATTATTTTATTTTGTAAAATAACAAAAAATGAAGGTAATTAATTAATTGTTTGGTACCAAATATTAAAGGGGGAGGAGACACCAAATATTTTTTTGATTATTCTCAATTTGTGTTTGTAGAAGGATATAATTTAAAAATAAATATTTAAATAAATATATAAAATTTATCTATTCTTTTTGTTAATCTCAAGCATTACAACGTGTTAGCGAATATCAGCGGTTTGATGGATGGTTTAATGTAAGTTTGGTTAATTTAAAAAAATTTTTTATTTAAAAAATTAATTTTTAGAATTTGGCAAATCCACAATGGGGTATTTTCTTGGAAATAAAAGAAAGATCATTAATTTCAAATTTTCAATTAAAATAATTAGGAAGTGTCGGCAGTCGATTACACAGAGACGCGCCTAGCAGTTATCAAGATGGTGTTTACAGACTGGATTCATCTTTGCCTTCAGCTAGGGTTATTTCTGGTAATTTTTAATAAAGGATTATAGAGATTAGAAAGTCTTTAAATTTTGCAGAATTAATGTTTAAAGGAGAACCTGGCATTCCTAGCCGACGCAATCTGACAACAATGTTCGCCTTCTTTAGTAAGAAATTAAAACTACCTAATTTTTAAGGACATTAGGAATAAATTTTAACAAATATTTATAAGTTAAAAAGATCACTTTTATTACATTTTAATTAAAAAAGGTCAGGTCATTGCCTATGAAATAATGCAATCAACTCAAAACAGTTGCCCTTTGGAAATGCATAAAATCCCTGTCGAACGTTGTGATCCAATATTTGACAAGGACTGTGAAGGAAAAACTGATATTCCTTTTACTAGAGCGAAATATGATAAAGGGACAGGTCATGGATTAAATTCTCCTAGAGAACAAATTAATGAAAGAACTAGTTGGTTAGTTGTTCTGAAAAATTTTTCAAATTAAAAATAAATTTACAGGATTGATGCTTCCTTCCTCTATAGTACTCAAGAGCCGTGGGTAATTTTTTGTTAATTTTATGATCAAAATAATAAATCTCCTTCTAAGGTTGCAGCATTACGTTCATTTGAGAATGGCACTCTTCTTGAGGGTCCAATGCCTGGCTACCCTCCTTTCAACGATCCACACATCCCTTTAATTAATCCTCCACCTCCACAAATTCATAGATTAATGAATCCTGAACGACTTTTCAGTAAATAACTTTTTAAAGGATATATTCTGATTTTCTTATTCTGTTTAAAGTTTTGGGCGATCCAAGAATTAACGAAAATCCCGGTCTTCTGAGTTTTGGACTAATTCTCTTTCGTTGGCATAATATTCAAGCTTTGAGATTACAACAGGAATTTCCTGAATGGACAGATGAAGAGCTTTTTCAGGGTGCCAGACGTTTGGTTATTGCTACTTTACAAGTATAGTTTTGACTTTATTAAAAAGGTGTACATCCTTTTTGTGACTCCATACCATCAGATTTCTTAGGAAAACTAAGTGCCATGTAAATCGAAGAGGGTTTCAAAAGTTTTCATTCATCAAAAAATATTAAAAAAAATTTATCTTTATTTAAAGAGTATTGTTCTTTACGAGTTTTTGCCTGTTTTGCTAAGCATTTCAAAAGAAGAAATACCAGAATATCAAGGCTACAATCCTCACGTTCCTCCAGGAATTTCTCATTCATTCGCAACTACAGCCTTCCGATTTCCACATACTTTAGTACCTCCAGCATTATTACTTAGAAAAAGAAACGGAAAATGTGAATTTAGAAAAGAGGTAATAATTAATTTTCAAAAATAAAATTTTACATAAAAAATAAAGGTTGGGGGCTTTCCAGCTCTTCGACTTTGTCAGAATTGGTGGAATGCACAGGATATTGTACGAGAATATTCTGTTGATGAAATTGGTTAATCTCATAAATATATTTACCCAATCAAAAAATTTCCTTTTTTAGTCTTAGGGATGGCTTCTCAAATAGCGGAGGATGAGGATCATATAGTTGTTGAAGACTTACGTGGTTATTTGAAAACAAAAATATTTTTGAATTAAAAATAATTTTTTAAAGATTTTATTTTCGGTCCAATGCATTTTACTCGTCTTGATGTTGTTTCCACTTCAATTATGAGAGCAAGGGATAATGGATTACCTGGATATAATCAATTGAGAAAAGCATATAAATTAAAACCAAAAGATTGGACTACAATAAATCCAAAATTAAACGAAACAAATCCCGAAGTTATTTTCTTAGAAAAAAATAATTTTTAGAGAAATTTTTTTCTAAAGAAAATAAATAAATTGGCAAATCTTTATGACTTTAAAATTGACCGTTTGGATGCTTATGTTGGGGGAATGCTGGAAGCTGATGGAAATGGACCTGGAGAACTTTTCTCTGCAATAATTAAAGATCAATTTCTTAGACTTAGAGAATCTGACAGATTTTGGTTTGAAAATAGGCAAAATGGGTAAAAAATGAAAGAAAAATTTATTTTAAATTTAAACTTTTTGTATAGATTGTTTACTGATCGAGAAATATTCTTTATTAGAAGAATTACTTTAAGGTAAGGGTAATTACTTTAATTACTTTAAGATAATAATAATTAAAAAATTTTTTGGTTCCTGTATATACTAAAATAATTACTCTGAGTAATTATTGTTTTAACCTTTCGGAGGGATTAATTAATTGAGAAGGGAAATTATTTGAGAGAGGTACAAAATCAAAAAATAAAAATGTGCCAAACAAATTTAGTATTTTTATAGGGATATAATTCGACAAACAACATCCATCGGAAAAGAAGATATTCAAGAAAATGTAAAAATTAAGTTAAATTTTATTCAAAATTTTGTTTTAATTAAAGGTATTCTTTTGGAAAAATGGCGATCCATGTCCACAACCTTTTCAAGTTAATATTTCTAGTCTTGAAAGTTGTGTTCCGTTTATGCGTTTTGATGTAAATAATTTTTTCAAATTAATTAAAATTAAAGTTTATTTTTAGCATTTTACTGGAAATGAAGTTACTTATATATTTACCTGTATTGCTTTATTTACTATACCTTTAGGTAGAATAAATTAATTTAATTTTAATTAATTTTAAAAAAAGTTTGTATTGGTATTGGTTATTTACTTGTTCAAAGAAGGAAGAAAATGGGAATGTTATTCGAACCTGGTGCTATCAAAAAACAAAATCAGGAATCAACAGAGGATGAGGGAATTATTGCAAAAGATCAAAAACTTGTTTTCCCTGGTTAATTAAAATATTAAAATAATCTTTACAAAAATTAATTTGTGCTAAATTTAAAATTAATTTGAATTTAATACTAAATACAGGAAAATTTTGATTTTTCTATTAAAGCGGGAAGCTATAACTAGATATTTAGTAGACACCGGGACTTCACATAATTATTCCTAAATAATTTTTAAAAAATATTTTTCAGCAATTGAATGGTTAAATGAGACATTTTGCAGGTAATTACTTTCCTTAAATTAAAATTTTCAATAAAATAATTTAATTAAAGATCAATCCTCGTTGAATTAAATTCAGAATATTCACAATTAAAAATTTTAAAGCGTAGAAGTGGAGGAATTTTACGTAAATTAGATTTTGGAGATGTTAATGTATTGAGATTAACTGTAACAAAAAGTGGAAGTGTAAGGAAGGGACAAGGGCCATTTGTGTGTATTTCTTTACCAAAAAATTATGATATTGTTAGTTAATTTTGGAAGAAAATAATAAAGGAAAATTAAATTTATTTTTTTAGGTTTTAAGGCTTCGTTCAAAACATCAATGGTCAAAATTCCGTTCTTCTTTGGGGAATTGCCTTTTAAAACACGGAAAACTTTTAAAAGAAGTTGAAGCAGAAAATGATGTTTTACTTGAAGCAGCAGAAACAAAAGATAAAAGACAATCTAAATTGGATCATTTCTTTCGGGAAGCTTACTCTAGAGTATTTGGAAATGAAGATATTTTTAATAAAAAAATTATTTTTGTAAAGGCATTTAATGACCCAGCATTAAGTGATTCTTCCCAAATATCAAATACAAATTTTAATTCAATGCAGCAAGTAATGGCAATGACTTTAACTAAAGCAGAATTTGCTGAAGCATTGGGAATGAGAACAAGTGATTTATTTGTTCAAAGAATGTTTGCTTGTATGGCAGCTAATTCTAATGAAGAAATTGATGGAGGGAATGATACAGTTGTGACTTTTCAGGTGGAGAATCAGAAAATATCATGGAAGACTTTGTTTCGATAATACATAGTTCAAGGAAGTACCCCTTTAAGTAGTTCAAGGAAGGACCTCGCTTTATGATACATCCAATACTTGATAAATCTGCATTATCCTATTAAAATATACCCCATTATTATCCTATTTACTTTGGCCATCCTTGATATATTATCATATTAAAATATACCTCATTATAGGCTATAATTTTTGATAACTAAAAGTCTTTTTATTCAGATCCAATAGTCTACGAATATTTTTAATAATACAAAATAATTTTAAAAAATTATAGAACATCATAATTTTTATTATTTTATAAAAATTTTATTTTAATCTTTTAGGAGTTTCTTGACGTGTTGCGCAAATTTACTCAAGGATCTTTAAGAGAAAAGCTTCAACTAGTTTTTGATATGTGTGATCTTGAACGTGAAGGGCGTGTTCAACGGAAACAATTTTGTGAATTTGTGAAATCCTTAAATATTGCTGCCGGTGTTAGAATTGACCAAGAAGTTCTTTTTAAGATGGATTTTAAAATTATTTTTTAAAAATAAGGTTCAAGATCAAGTGTTAGAATGTGTTTTGAAAAGGGCAGGAGTTGACCCAGAAAGAGATATTTTAACTTACAAAGATTTTGAAGCAATATTTAGTCAAATGGTGGATATACGTAGACCTGTTGGTGTGCATTTGAGAGGAGTAAATATGAGGATTAATTTAGAAGAGTGAGTTGAAAAATGATTACAGTTAAACCTCATATTTAGATACCCCCAATATTAGGTATCTTTCAAGTTAAGATACGTTTTTTTAATTTAGTCGGGGTTGGGTGGACAGAGCTGCGCCACATTTGAGATTCCCTTAATTGCAAACTAGGTTTTTAGATTTAAGATTTTTAGTGTTAAAGGGGGTATCTAAATATGAGTTTAGACTGTATTAAAAATTTTTTTAATAAAATAATTATTTTTCCCTTTTAAAAAAAAGAACTCAAAGTCTCAATAGTTTTGCTGTTACTTCAGAAGTTAAAGATCCATTTGACAAAAATTCAATTTCCTTACTTCTTAGTTATTTGGAAAGTTATAGACAACATATTGTTATTTTATTTCTTTTCTTTGCTGCAAATGCTATTGTTTTTTTAGAAAGATTTTGGTGTAAGTTTGGAAAATAAATTTTAAGAAATATTTTTGTTTCTAATAGTTTATCGGTATGAAAATGAACATCGTGATTTACGCCGAGTAATGGGTGTTGGTGAATTTTTAATTTTAATTTTTAAAATTTTCACAATAAAAATAAGTCATGATTGGTTACTATATTAGGTATATTATTTAAATCCCCTAATTTTAAATAAAATTTTTGTCTAATTTTTCGGATAGTCGGGCTTATTTTTAGATGTCCTCTCCCCGGGGAATGAAAATACTGTACCTTATATTGAAGGGTACATTAAATCGGAAGTATAGGTTAGGTAGCTCTGCCTACTTAGAGACCAACCAAATTAAAAAATTGTGCCTTATATTTTTGGGGGCCCAATTTTGGGGGTATCTAGAAATGAGGCTTTTATGTTTTACATAATTCATTCGAATTTTGAAATTAAAAACAAAAAAATATTTAGGAATTGCCATAACAAGAGGAGCAGCAGCAGCTCTTTCCTTTGATATGGCATTAATACTTTTAACTGTTTGTAGAAATATTTTGACAATTTTAAGAGAATCTTTTGTTGGAGAAGTTTGTTATTTTTGGATTTCTTTGAATTAAAATATTCTTTTATAAAGTATATTCCTTTGGATTCGGCTATTACTTTCCACAAAATTGTTGCGATAACGGCTGGTGTGTTTGCAGCAATTCACACAATTGGGCATTGTGTTAACTTCTACCACGTTGCAACACAAAGTCAAGAGGGACTTGCTTGCCTCTTTCAAGAGGTTAAGAAAAGAAATTCTCTTTCAAAAAATATTTTTCATTAAAATATTTTTTGAAGGCTGTTTTTGGTTCCAATTTCCTTCCATCAATTTATTACTGGTTCTTTCAAACATTAACTGGCCTTACAGGAATTCTATTGGTTTGATTCCGTATTAAATAAAAACAAAAATTTTTTAAGGTTGCTTTAATGAGTATTATTTATGTATTTTCTGCTCCGGCAGTAATGAAACGTGCTTATCATGCTTTCCGCCTCACTCATTTGCTCAACATACTTCTTTATGCTTTCACTATTCTTCATGGATTGCCTAAACTTCTTGATGTTGTTTTTTTATATTTTTATAATTTATTTTATATTTTTAGTCTCCAAAATTCTGGTATATTGTACTTGGTCCAACTATTATTTTCATTATTGGTAAGATTTAAATGGTTTCAAAAACGATATAATAATTTTGATGATGTCCTATAATCTCTATTATATTTCATATTCTAGACTGTACTAATTTTTTTAAAGATCGAATTATTGGCATGCGAAAACAATATAAACAATTGAGAATTGTTGAAGCTGCTGTTCTCCCCTCCGGTGATTCTCAATTGTTTCCTCAATAATACCTAATTATATCTCTTATTAGATATAATCTACATTCAATTTAAACGTCCACATTCATTTAAATTCCGTAGTGGACAATGGGTGCGTATTTCTTGTCCCGCACTCTCTTGTGCTTTCAATGAACATCATGCTTTTTCACTTGCGTCTGCACCACAAGCTCAAACTTTGGCACTTTTTATTAAAGCAGTAGGGCCTTGGACTTGGAGTTTACGAAATGAAATAACTGAAGCACAAGAGAATGGACTTGTTTATCCTGTCCTTAATTTGGATGGCCCTTACGGGGATGGAAATCAAGTAAAAATAAATGAAAGAGAAAGCTATAAAATATTTAAAAGGAATGGTATAATCACGAAGTTGTTGTTATGGTTGGTGGAGGTATTGGAGTAACGCCTTATGCTTCTACTTTAATGGATTTGGTATTGGAAAGGGCTTCTGGTAATCATAGTGGAATTAGATGCAAAAGAGTTAAAAATACAAAATAAATTTAAAAAATAATTAATTTTAAGGTTTATTTTCTTTGGATATGCCCAACACACAAAAATTTTGAATGGTTCGTTGATGTACTCAAAGAAGTTGAGAAATATGACACACAAAATCTTCTTGAAACACATATTTTTGTCACCCAATTCTTTCATAAATTTGATTTGAGGACGACTGTTTTGGTGAGTTTAGAGCGGACAGTAAAGATAGGAATGGAGTAAGGATAAAGATTAGGAATGAGAGCAGGGAAAGATGCATCTGAATTTCATGGATATCTCGAACAAAATTTCATTTTCCTCTAAATTTTAATAAAATATTTAAGTATATATGCGAGAAACATTTCCGTGGCAACAATTCTGGGCATTCAATGTTCACCGGTCTCAGAGCTACCAACCACTTTGGACGTCCAAATTTTGATTTATTTTTTAAATTTCTTCAAAGTCGGCATCAGGATGTAATTTTTAATTTAAATTAATAAAGATGATTATTTTTTAAAGGTATCCGATATAGGAGTTTTTAGTTGTGGGCCAGCTCAAGTTAATAAACAAATTAGAAGGGCATGTACAGAAGCAAACAGAATAAGAAATGCGCCGTCATTTGTGCACAGATTTGAAACATTCTAATTTTGAAACAATATTTTTTGTGATTAATAAATTAATTTAAATAAATTTTTTTAAATTTTTCTTTATTCTTCGAAGTTAAATTTAAAAATTATTGGACTATAAATATTTACTTAAACAAAAAAATATTTTAATGATTGATTTAAACAAAAGCTTTTTAAACAACAAATGCTCTTTTATTTTTTAATATAAAATGGAAGAAAAATTTATAATAAAAATTTTTGTTTCTATTGTCTATTTTCAATAGAAATATTTTTTAAAAATGTTTTTTAATTCATAAAAATATTTTCTATTTTTTTTCATAATTTATTTTAAATTTTTAAAAAATTCAAAAATAGGGGATAACCTGGACTTAATATTTCTCTATCTTTTCCTCGTTCCTGTACAATGATTTTTCCATCCACTGAAAATATTTTTTGTTTTGTATTTTATATTTAATTTAATTTTTTATATTATTTTATTTATCTCAAAAGAACATTTTTTATTTACTTTATCAATTAATTTTCATAAAAATATTTACATACTAAATATGTAAATTTATTTTTTTCGAATAAAAACAATAGTAACAAATTCAAAAATAAACTAGCCATTTATTGAAAATATTTTTGACATCAATTGTCATATTTTTATGAAAACATTTTCAAATTTTAAATACATTTTAAATCACAAAAATTATTAATTTCAAATAAATTTTAAATAATAAATTTTCTTCAAAAACATATTTAAATGCATAAAAAGTGTGTTTTATCATTTCTTTATTTCTTAACTTTCCTTAAAATATTTAAATCCTCCCTATATTTTCTCACAATATTTGAACATTTGTGTATTTTAAAATATTTATGTAGAAGTTTGGGATTATTCTTTATTAAACATTTAATTTTAAATTTGTTAAGTTTTTTTGAATTTATTTGGAAGAGTTGTTGTAAATTTGCAAAAAATGCTTATTGAAAAAATTTTTTCTATAATTTTCTAATTTAAACAAGTTTTTAGTAATTTAAGTGTTACCAAAATTAATTTTTAATTTTTCAAAGAATATTTTTTTAATTTTATCATTTTTAATTAATTTATTTTAATTACTAGCAATTTATTTTTAAGTACTTTAGGCTAAAGTTTTTTCTCGAAAAAAAACTTTTTTTCAATAAATATTTACCACTAGCCAACAAATATCTTCGAATCCTCTCAAGTTTTTATGACTGCCACTCATTCTCTTTTAAAGATATTCAATTCTTTTTTATTTTTTTTATTTTCCACAGGCCCATTAGCCTAAAAATAATTTTTTTCTAAAGCTTATATATAAAATACCACAAATTTTAACCAAGTCCAGAGGCCAATTTTCCCATAAATGAATGAGTGCCGATTGTTAAAAAACAAAAGAAATAATTTATTTTATTCTTTTTTTTTGAGTGCCGGCAATGTTTTTTTATTCCACTCATTTTGTCACTCTTCAATAAATATAAAAACATTTTTTTTATTTTAAGAATTTTTTAAGTAAAAATCTTTTTAAATTTTATTTTCAATAAATATTTTAACCAATTGTTTTTTCTTATTATTTTTTAATATTAAATTTTTCTATAAAATTAAAAAAAATATTGTTGAACTTTTAAAAATATGTAAACATACCTTTATTTGAAAAAAACAACGAGAGTGAAATTTGATACATTTACTATGTATTTTAAAAATTATATAAAAATTCAAAAAAATTTTTTTGACAAAACTATAGTATAGATAATTCATTATAAAAATAAAAACATTATTTATTAAAAAAATTACTTTATTATTTAAAAAAATTTTTAATTTTTAAAAATTACTTTTATTTATTTATTTAACATAATTTCAAGTATTTATTCCTAAATTATTCCATTTTTGGTCTTCATTTTCTTTTCTTTTTTCTAAATAAGTCAAATAATTTTTAAGCTTATTTACTTCTATCTCATTAACCTTCTCTAATATCATCACCTACTAATAATCCTCTTTTTGTTTTTTGGAATTTTCAAGCAGAAAATCGCGTCATTTTTTTCAATCCTGGGAAATAAGCGAAAGAATAAATAAATATTTTGAGAGAAAAGTGAGAAAGTCTTTTTAAAGATTAAAATATTTAAATGCTTGACTGGCACTTGAAGTAAAGATTTTATCAATCATTGAATATATGAGAGAATAAATATTTAAAGAAAAAGTTTTCTTGTTTAAAATTTTTTGGACCCCCTAGACTCAAACACTTAGAAATATTTAAAGAAGAAAAATTTATTTAATTAAATTCCAAAATATATTAAAAAGGGGAGAAAAACAGAGGAGGCTGGTAATTAAGAATGAAGTTCAAAAACTGGCTTTTCTCTTAAAAGCCAAATAGTTAAATAGAGAAGAGATTGGGCGGTACAAAGCAAAGTTAGGTGAAAATGAGAGATAAATGGAATGGGCGGAATCGATAAATAAAATTAAAAATAATAAATAAAATAATTAAATTTTGAGGCAAAATTGTGCCTGTTCGGCACATTCCCCTCGGCGAGAAAAGAGGAAGAGGGAATAAAAATGAATGTCCAAAATAATCACAAAATGTTTTATTAATCATCGGCTCTTCTAATTGTCTTCTTCCTCTCATTGATTGCCATCGTTGAGTTCGATTCCATCACGCATTCCGAAGGAAACTGGTTGAACATGAGGGGTTTTCTCTATATCCACTGCGGATGCAGAAACAAGGTGTGGCCTTAGAGATGCTCTGATCATTGCTGTAAGGCCAAGGTCGCTTTCGACCATAATGGGTTGGTTTGTAGCTAGGGTGTACTGGGGCACGGTCTTGTAACTGGTTGAATGGGGAAGCGGCTGGCATTGCGGAGGCTTCGGACCTGGGGGTGAAGGTTCTTCACTTTTAATTTCTGTGGGATTCGCTTCGGCTCTACGCCGTGTAGGTCTTTCATATTCGTTTCGGTGCTTTCTCTGAAGCGTTAATTCGAAATTTAATTCTGGTTTTTTCTCTAATTTCTCTTCTATATTTCCCCCCAAAGCATTATCCTTACCGGTTTCCCAACCAATATGTTGTTGTGATGATTGTTCCATTACTTGATGTTCACTTTTCTGGTTGTCTACATTGTTGGGCACATGTAGAGGATTTAAAATAAAATAAAAGTGGTTGCTGTTGTTCTGGTCTTTTATCATTTTCCACAATTTTCTCACTTTTTGATGTATTTTCTATTGCTTGCTCTTCGTAAGAGTCGAGAACACTTTCGCTAGTTGATGATACAATAGCGCTGCCAGAATCCAACCATTTATTCATAAGATCAAAATTCTCAATTATTTCTGAGCTACCCAACTTTCTAAAATATGCTAGTCGTACTGAAGTAAAAGCTGTTGTTGGGTAAGGAAACACGGAGGACAACTGCGATGAGTTAGGAAACAAACAAAGAGTCGGCTCTATAGCCACAACTGAGAATGGTTGAATGCTCCGAGCTACTAATCTCGGTGGAAGGCTTCGCTGAGCTAATAAAATAAAAGGTACTTGAGCTAATAGTACTGAAATAGATGGAGGGAAATTGCTAATAATAGGTCCGTCCTTTGGCACAATTCCACCGCCTAGCTCATTGAGTGTTTTTGTCTCTGCTTTAATAAAGGGAGTGCTTATTCGCCCAAACTGTTGGCGCTCTTTCTTTTGTAACTCAAATATTTTCTTAGGGCTCTTGCCCAATCTTTTCCCATAACTTTGGAAGAGCACTAAACTCTGCTCTGACTTAAGTGATAAATTATCGCCCTCTGGCGGACTATCACCAATTACTTTGTTTAAACAAATTTTTTGAAAAATTCTGGTGGGGTCTGGTGAAACTTTGTGGTTTGGGTCTCTGACCCCTTCCCCACTTCGCAAAAAATTAAATAAAATGTTGTAAATAAAAAATGCTAGTGTGCTTTTAAAACTGATAATTATGGTAATTATACTGATTACCGGAATAAAATAAATGGATATGAAATTTCTGTTTACTAAAGTCTTGTTTATGGATTTAAATGCTTTAAAAGGTATATCAGGTGGAATTTTCTTCCTTCTGATGGTCTGCTCTTCTTGGCAGACTACTATTTGGTCCTTGTGGTCACAGCTAACGTTTATTATAAATGTCAGAGAAATTAATATGAGAGCAATTCCATAACCGGCTAGGTTTTCCTGGATCATTTCTTTTAACTTTTCTAGTCTTTTCTTGGTTCCATGAGCTTTCTCGTCTAATATTTGTTTAGGAAATAGCTTTTCTGGTAATAATGTATGTGAAACTTTAGTTTTCTCTATTAAAGGAAGATCGGAAGGGTCTTTCACCCTCTGGAACTTAGTAAATTCTCGGTTGGTTCGACGCAACTCGTCTGGTCGCTCGATGACACTATGAGTCAACTGATCCATGGTGTCTGGACTATTTAGGGCGAAAAGGTATATCTCTATTAAAGGAAGATCGGAAGGGTCTTTCACCCTCTGGAACTTAGTAAATTCTCGGTTGGTTCGACGCAACTCGTCTGGTCGCTCGATGACACTATGAGTCAACTGCTCCATGGTGTCTGGACTATTAAGGGCGAGTTCGGTAATTCTATTTTCTTTCTCTATCTGCAGCTTCTGATAAGATTTATCTACTGGTTCGGTAATTATATTATCTTTCTCTATTTGGAACTTGTGGTAAGGCAAATCTGATGAAAGATTCAAACTTTCACAGCTAGGAGAATCACTATTATCTTTGAGGCGGGTAATCTGATCGTCAACTGTTGACGTGTTCTCTTTAACTCTATTATTCCCTTGTATTTGCTTCTCATCTTTCTCTTTAACTTTCTTACTCATTAGTAGCTTCTCTGGTTGAGGGCAAATATCAGGCTCTGTGCCCAACTCTGGTTTAACTATTTCCTTGTTAATAGTGAATAATGTCATTATCTTGGGTCTAACTGGTAACGGCTCAGTAAATCTCACAACTTTTGGAATTGGAACACGCTCCTGAATTACAACCTTCTGAAGAGGTTGAATATTGGTTTGAACAGGTGGGGTCTCTCTAACTTGCTGTACTTGGTGTCGTACTGACAATGCTTTATCTGAACTAATAACTGGACTCTGATTCTGGCTTAAAGCCATCTGGATGATTTGGTTTTCGGGATAATAACTATCTTCCTCTGGGGCTAGAAAATCCTGATTATCTTCAAAAGTTCTCGTGCATACTAACACGTGATGGTTCCCTTGACATTGGGCACAAATCTTAGATGAAGGACATTCTCTGGCATAATGTCCTTCTCCCAGACAACGAAAACAACGTTTCTGTTCTTTCAATCTCTGAAAACGTGCCTGAGGTGTTGAATAACTAGGGCATTCACTCGGGAAATGGATTCCTGCGTTGCACAATGAACAGTATCTTTTGCCTTGAGGGGGCAACTGGTTGCCTGGACTAGGTCGTGATTGGGCACAAAATGAACGGACTTGTTCGGTATATTCTGTTCTAGGACGGTAATCATTTCTCTGATGGATGGGAGGGGCAACTGAACCTCCCTGAGGTCTTATTTTAAGTTGTGAGAAACGCATAACCTCCTCACTAATCTCAACTAGGTTACATAATTCTTGTCTAAGTCTGGCACTGTCCCATCTGGCTTGGGAATATCGTTCCTTCTCAATTAACTTGGCAACTATAGATTGGGGCAGCTTGGTTTTGATAACTGTGGACACGAATGGGGACTGATCCATCGTTCCAAATGCCTCTAACTGTCGGCAAATTCTTTCCACCGAGTCAACGAATGCCCTTAAGGAATGGCTGGAGTCGTTGGGTGGGGTAAGGTTCATAAGTTCAGCCTCTAAAGCCTCTGTGATGGCCCGGCTATTTCCATAACGTGATTTGAGCAAATCTAAGGCTCGGTCATAATTCTCATTGGAAAGGACAAATCCAGCTACTAATTCTTTAGCTGAACCCTGAAGGAAGGCGAGAAGGTAACTCATTTTTCTGATATTATCCATGGGACGGGAATCAATGTTCGCTGAAAAAAGTTGCCAAAAGGTGGTCCACTTCTTGGGATCTCCATGGAAGGGATCCATTTTAAGCTCTGGAAGTCTGGCTTCTATAGGATAAACTGGGATTTTGTTTTCTTGTTTAATAATCTGCGGGATCTGCCGCTCGGTTTTATTTGTGACTTGGGATAACTGGTCTGATACTTCGGATACTCCTGCCTGACTGGATTGGCCTGAGGGTACCGATTGTTCTATAAGAAAATCGAGATCGCCCAAAACTCCTTTGGCTCTCTCTACTAATTCCATGAAATGATTATAGTCTGGGTCTCCCTCTGCTTGGGGAGCGAATCTCTTATAAACTTGTTCCTCCTGGGCAAGATCATCTCCCTCCAGGCTGTCGAGGAGATAAGCCCATTTACTGTGTAAAGAATCGACTCGATCTAGAGTACGATTTAACTGAAAACGCGCTGCGCGTATCTGATCTTGGGTTTGGTTACCATGATTAGTGGCTAACAACTGAGTAGCGGTCACTAACTGATCCTTTAATGTTTTGAGGGCTGGTCCTAGCTGAGACCGGATAAGCCTTGAAGATGGCATGATTTGAGTAACTTGTATACTTGATTTCTGATATTAATGACTGAACTGATGGGGACTCTAACCGGCACACCAGTAGAATAAAGGGATTCGGTTCTTATTAACCGAGAAATTATACTTCGGCTATCTGAGCCGTGAAGGAAATCTTTAAATTAATTCGGCCTTTGCCGTGCAGAAAAAAATTTTAAAAATTAAATTTATAAAAATTTATTTATTTTTCCAATAAAATGTGCAAAAAAAGATGACACACCAGATGTGTGTTGTGTTTATTCGGCTATCTGAGCCGTGAAGAAATTTGTTTTATAAAAAACCCCCTTTAAGGTTTTTCCTTTTCTAACTTTTAGAAAAATTCGCTCTCTAGCGATGAAAAAATTTTATTTATATAAATGTAAACAACCGAAGATAATCTTTTGTTTTTACACCAGAAGTGTGTAAAATATACAAAAGAAAGGAAAAAATGGCCTAACTTGCCGATATAAATTTTTGAAAAGGAATGCACAAAAATGTGCAAAACTGTTTATTTTGTGTTGGCATTTCCTATGGCCAAAGAACACAAAAACTATTTTTAAAATGAAAAGGGAAAAATGGCGCAAGTCGCCAGATGTGCAAAAAACTGTAAGGAATGTAAAAAGGCGCAGGCTCTCTGATTGGCCGGCCAAAAGGGCTGTTTGAGTCTGGGAAGGGTCACTTGAGTATGAGATGTCCAACGGGTACTTGGGACCGGCACTTGGACTGTAGACTGATTTGATTAAACGATGGGCACTCTGAGGCCGGCAATCGTTTATCCGACGGGCACTTGGGGCCGGCACTCGGAAATTAGCTAATAAGTTAACGACGGGCACTATGGGGCCGGCACTCGGAAATTAGCTAATAAGTTAACGACGGGCACTATGGGGCCGGCAATCGTTAAAGGTAAATGATTAGGCTAACAAGGGGCACTCTTGGCCGGCACTTGCTAGAAAAATATAGATAAAAAAACGATGGGCACCTCTGGCCGGCAATCGTTAAAGTTAATCACTGAAATAAACTATTGGCACTATTCCCAAAAAATACTTGCTGGGTAGTAAAAGGTTCGGCTCTGTGCCGAGAAGATTATCAGTGGGTCGTTCCCACTCGATAACAAAAGCTTTTAAAGAACGGTGGGCACTATTGGGCCTGCTACTCGTTCTGGGACTAGGGATCCACTGATCGGCTCTAGCCGTGATGACTGAAGAAACGGGTATTCTTGACCCGTACGGGGCTCCAATTTTTATGTGCCGAATGTGGCAATTTGATCTCAAGACCCCTAGACTCAAACACTTAGAAATATTTAAAGAAGAAAAATTTATTTAATTAAATTCCAAAATATATTAAAAAGGGGAGAAAAACAGAGGAGGCTGGTAATTAAGAATGAAGTTCAAAAACTGGCTTTTCTCTTAAAAGCCAAATAGTTAAATAGAGAAGAGATTGGGCGGTACAAAGCAAAGTTAGGTGAAAATGAGAGATAAATGGAATGGGCGGAATCGATAAATAAAATTAAAAATAATAAATAAAATAATTAAATTTTGAGGCAAAATTGTGCCTGTTCGGCACAACTTTATTATTTAAAAAAATTTTTAATTTTTAAAAATTACTTTTATTTATTTATTTAACATAATTTCAAGTATTTATTCCTAAATTATTCCATTTTTGGTCTTCATTTTCTTTTCTTTTTTCTAAATAAGTCAAATAATTTTTAAGCTTATTTACTTCTATCTCATTAACCTTCTCTAATATCATCACCTACTAATAATCCTCTTTTTGTTTTTTGGAATTTTCAAGCAGAAAATCGCGTCATTTTTTTCAATCCTGGGAAATAAGCGAAAGAATAAATAAATATTTTGAGAGAAAAGTGAGAAAGTCTTTTTAAAGATTAAAATATTTAAATGCTTGACTGGCACTTGAAGTAAAGATTTTATCAATCATTGAATATATGAGAGAATAAATATTTAAAGAAAAAGTTTTCTTGTTTAAAATTTTTTGGAATTATTTTGCAAAATAAATACAATTCTAATATAAATATTAATCAATTATACATATATGTTAATTAACTTGTTGTTATTTATTTCAGACATGTACGTATCCGTTTATATCCTTTCATGTTTTGTATCATATCCATCCGTGGGTATCCGCGGATGGATATAAGGGTTCAAAAAGTAAAACGTTAATTAACTTGTTGTTATTTATTTCAGACATGTACCTGGATCCACGGACCTATCCACGGACCTATCCGTTTTTCAAAATGGTCAGTTATATGATGGATATCCGCGGATTTGGAGCTCATATCCGTATTCTATTTAAAAACACTATACATAACTGTCCTTATCCGCGGACATCCGTGGATATCCGGATAATCACAGGTCTGATTTATTTTACTCTTTCCATTCAAAATATAAAATTTTAACATTTTTTAAAAATTTTATTTTTATGTTCATGTGAATATACCTTTTTATTGTTCTTTTGATTTGGGGCGCAAAGTTTTCTTTTGCGTCATGAAAACGTGTGAACTGAATATAAAAATAAATTATTCTATGAATAAATAATTTAAATAAAAAATAATAACAAAAGAATTTTTTAAGAAGATTTTTACTTTTTCCCTAAATATTTTTTGGTGTTTTTGTTATTATAGTAAGGGTTTTAAGGGTTCACAAATTAAAACTTTTTTCTAAAAATTAGTGAAAATCTTTTTTTTTATTTTTTAAGTTGGATGATTGTGGGATATGGGAATGAATCCTCATGTGTAGGAAATAACCAAAATCAACTTTATTATCTTAGAAACTTTTTTCTTTTTTTTGTTAAAAAACTAAAAATAATTTTTTTAAAATTTCTTATTTCAAATTCCCCTTTTTATTTTCTTCTTTAAATTTTTTCTTAGAAAAGTTTTTACTTAAAAAATTCTTTAAATCTTTTTTTCTATTAATTTATTTTTAATTCTAAAATTGTTCTTGTCTACTATTCCAAAATGCAAACAATATATTTTAACCGTTAAATGAATGAAAGGTTTTTTAAAAGTGTGGGGAATTTAAATTGTGGGAAATGAATTCCTCCTTCGGTTAATGAACTTCTACTATTTTATTTTTTCTTTCTAAAAATTTTCTTCCGTTTTGCTAAAAATAAAAATTAAAAGATTTTTTAAAAGAAACGATTTCTCCTTTTTTTAAATTTAATTAAAATAATTTATATTATTTTTAAATTAATTCTCTCTCTCTTTTAAAAAACAAAATTAAATAAATATATTTAAATATGTATGTACCACACATGTTTTTCTCCTTTTTTTATATGTATAAAAAATTCTTTCCACTAAAACAAAATTAAATCTTTACTCTAAAACGAGTTTTCTCATTAAACTTTATTTAAATGCTAAAAAAGGTAATAAAAAAAAAGATTTATATTTTTATTCTCTAAATTTAGCTATTTTTAATTATTTAAATGAATATATTTTTTACAAGATTTGTGCAACTTTAAAAAATTAATTTCCTTGAGAAAAGATTTATTTTAATCTTTTCTATAATTAATTTCACACGTTTTAAATCATTTTAATATATATTACGTTTATTTAAATACCCACACATTAGAACTAAAATAATTAATATTAAAATATACATAATTATTTAATTTAATTTTCATTTTATAATTAAAATACTTGTAAAATACTCTCCTCAACTTCCTTTAACTTTTATAATTTTTAAATATATTTTTTCCTTTTTTTTCTTTATAAATTAGCCTAATTAGCTCACTTTTTGTTCCTCCTCCTTTTTTTTTAATTTCAAAACGTGTTAAAGTCCAAATATTTTTATTCAAAAAAACAAAAAATGTCTTTTCCGTTCATCCTCTCCCATTTTATTCTTTTCACTTTTTTGTCCTGTCTTCAACAGCTCTCCCTCCCCCCTCTCTTTTTAGACATTACCAAACAAAAATACTGTCCTTTTTGTCTCCAATAATTTTCTAAAAATTTTTTTTACCCCTTCTTCCGCTCCCATTCCCTTCATTTTCTCCTTTTGTGCAGAAATACATGTTTGTGTGTGTTTTGGGAGGATAAAGAAGGATTAGGACAAAAAGCTAGGGCCAAAAGGCGGAAAAATCTTTTGGAGGCACGCGACAGAAACAGTCCCTCCTAATGAGCCCCTCCGGACGGAATTTTTTAACAAAAATTGATTAAACAAAAAAAGACGAAAAAGGAAGTTGGGTAGCCTTTTATTTACAATCTTTAGGAAAAAATATTTATAAACAAACAATCTCTTTTATTTAAATATATATTTTAATTTGATGTCATTTTATTGATAATTTATAATAATATATTTATTAAAATTAATTAATTTTAATATTATTATTACTCCAAAATTTTCCTTTTTTAAGCTTAAGACTTCTTACTAGATAAAATTTAATTAGTTAATGCATCTTGGAATTCCTCTATTTTTTAATACAATAATTATATTTAAGTTTAGGTTGCAAGAAGGGATACTTAAATAACCTTAAAGTTTAGATAAAAAAATTTTTATAGTTTCCATAAATAAATATTTACATAATAAATTAATATTATTAATTTTTGGCTTAATTATTAACAATAAATTAATTTTAATTAAATTATTTTTTTTTATAGAAATGGTTTTTATGAACCTATTTTCTTTACAAAATCAAGTACTTAATTTAATTGAACCAAATTCATCTTTAACAGAAGATTCTTTATCTTCCTC